GTCCACCCAGACAAAAATGGGTAGCATTAATCTGTACTGAGAAGTAAATGTGGCCAGTGTAACAGCTACCACATCACCCATCGAGTACCAGTACTACTGCTACCACTACCACCACCACATTCACAACAACAACAACACAAAACGGTCACTACTGTCTGTACAGGTCGTTGAAGCCAGAGGAGTTGGCGCCGCATGCTGCCACCACGGACTGTTTAGTTTAAGTGTGTCCCCGACATAAAATTCCGTGATTAAAAAAAAAAAGTTCACTATACTCACAAATAGCGGAAATAAAAACCCGCATTCGTTATATCTCCCTCTCCGAAGACAGATCGTGATGAGAGCGACGTTCTGTAAAGCACCTGCTACATGATGATGAATCTGAGAACAGGATGATAACATTGTAATACAGTTATAAGACCGAGGACGAACACGATTATTTATTGGGGTATAAATTACTGACGACCTGTAGGCTCCTGCCGTGCATGCTTCCCTGTGGAGTTTTTTAAATTATTATACTAATCATCATCATGTAGCAGGTCCTTTGCAGAACGTCGCTCTCATCACGATCTGCCTGAAAGAAACTCGGTATTTCGCCAGTTCTCGTGCCTCATGTACTTTCATACTCAAGGAGTCACTTATATCCTGTGGCCATCTTCGTGTCGATCGGCCCCTTCCCCTCCTTCCTTGTACCATGCCTTCTGCTATTTTATTTTTCCATTCCGTCGTGGCGCTTGATACGACCAAAATCTCCTTCTTCTTCGCGTTCACCAGCTGTACACTCTGGCGGAAAGGTCTGGTTGCTCGTCCACTACTGAAATGCAGTCCTGCTCCAGAACCTGAGTGTTGCGTGTGCATCAGTTTTACAGATCTCATTCTCTTGAATACAGACTGTTGGTTCCTTGCCTCTCCGGCAGATGCACTCCGACTTCAAAGGAAGCTCCCCAATTAGTCGACTCTTACAACATGCTTTTGGGGAGGCAGTGGGTCTATTCTTGTTTTCCCCACAATGGGGCCCCGGAACCCACACTGGGGTGACCAAAATATTTCAGTTTCCGAGAAAGGATGCTGTTTATTAGCGAATCTTCCTTGATGTTCAGATCTTTTAAGATGTCAATATTTTTCCTTTCCTTTGTCCAAAATATTCTGAGAATCTTTCTATAGAATTTCAGCTCAAAAGCCCCTATTCTCGTTCTTAAGGGAAATTATACTACTACTACTACTACTATAAATAACCACACATAGAGCCAACTCCAACGAGGCCTTGAAAAAATCTCGAAGAGCAAGTTCAGAAAGCACACTGGCTATGTTCACACAACATATCTCTGAACTAATGATGAAACTAGCATACGTATTGTGTAACATAACATCTGTGGTGCAGGGTTTCTTAATGCTGAAATACCTGGTCTGATTCAGCTGCAAACGATTTGGCAAGACAACCGCTTGGTGCTGATTTCTACAATAATATCTAGCGTCAGTATTCAGAAAGCAATGACAAATTACTGAACGTAAATATGGGTGACTGCAGTAACGCAAGTGAGAGAAAAACACTAAATACAACATAGAATGTGACGAGAAAACTGAACGCAGGGAGTGGAGAAGAGGTTTACAATACACAGTTCGGGTGTATCCTTTCCATTGACGGCGTCTATGACTTTGTCGTTGCGAACGCGCTTCGTAATGCTGGTGTGCCGGGTTCAATCTCAGCTGCGGGCCTTGCGCTGGTATCGACAGTGGTATTGAGAAGTCGACCATCCAAAAAGCATGGCAAACTACTGGACGTAAACTTGCCTAGAAAAACCAAAACAGTCAAAAATGCTAGGATTGTTTTTGCAATGTCCTGAGTTATGAGTTAGATTATCTTCACAGCATTCCGGGCACATCCATAGGTGCTCAGATTCCCCTCTCAACACATTCATCAGTGTCGTGCGGTTAATAGTACCAGTCATATGTTGGTTAACAAGACTTCGTGTGTGTCCACTGTGCTTCTCATGCCTGGCTGTGCCGATCTTTACTCCCAATTCGCGTATTCTTAGCAGTGATGTGGACACGTTGCTTCCAAAATCCTCAGAACGTCTAATCTCACTGAGGGCATTGACAATGTCTGCGTGATCCATGGGGCAGACATCTTCAATTAATGCAGTCCCTGCCAGTCTATCAGCTCTCTCATTACCAACATCGCATGCATACCCTGGTGTGAATTTGAAAGTAACTGTACACACAGGAGAATTTTGCAACGACTCAAACCACTGTCTGCGTAACCAGTCTGCCTCGACCCGATGGATCATGCTCAAAGAATCACTCAGCGCACACACGCGTGAATAGTCCTGTGATCCCTCCGCATGAAAGCTGTGACACCGCCATCACCCCCATCATCATGCTTCTGGTGGTCCTGGAGAAGGCACCGCTGACTTCCTTAACTGTTCTGTCTAAAGAGCGAGCTGTAAATGCCCATGCACTCTTATGTCCTGGTATAGAGGACCCTTCTGTGAAGATCTGTCTCATCTGACTTATCACTGATAAGCGCGCATACTTCGACATTGACAGCAGCTGGATTCTGCTCCCGATATTTCCTATCGAGCGTCACGACACAGGAGAATGTGAGATTTGGCGCTTTAGACTCTGGTATCCACTCCTCACCTGGATGGATGGATGTCTGTAAGGCTGCAAACCTGCATGATATCATCCTCTGCCCTACCCAGCCATGATTTGCCCCTTTTAAGCCTATTTCCTATTATGTTAAAGAGCATGTGGTGCAAAGGGTGCTTCACATCTGAGCTTATCTTAGCTATCCAGATCTTGATCCTATAGTTCATGGTACGGAAGTCAAGAAGGTACCTCATTGCTACACAAGAGGTGTCTCCAGTGCACCCTAGAATAATGCGCATCACTACATTTTGCACCTTCTCAAGTCTTTCATCCTGAGTAAGGATGGCAAGAGCATATTAGATGGGAGAAGGTACAAGTCCCTGGAACAGAAGGAGAAGCAGTCTCTGCTCAGTATTAGCAGCAGCCAGGACCCTCATTGCTGACAGGCCTTTGCGTGTTTTTGTTATTACATGGTCAACATGTTATTTGATTGCAATGTCATGTAAAGGAGACTCAACTAACTTTATATTTTCCAGTCACTTCTATTAGTTATTAGTGTTCTGGTCACATTTTGTGTTTAGTATTGAACATAAAATTGCCTAGTAAAACCGTAAATAGCCAATGAATGCTGTGTTGAATTTGCTCAACCTCGTAAAAGCAAGATATTTAAATCTTAAACTGGCTAGAAAACACCCCCCCCCTTTCCCCCCCCCCCAAATGTTACAGAAAACATTTCACTGAGAAATTATTCGTAAAATCCCAAACGTCCACAAATTAATCAGATTAATAAATTTAAAAGTACATGTACTGAATGTCCCTCTCGTTAAGCGTGACAGTTTAATGGATGGCAGGTAGTCGAGGCAGGAAATCCGAACTCCAAAGAAAACCACTACCTAACGGGGATCACCTCCAAATTATCAATTAGCAGCACTGATATGAAATCAATTATAGAAGGAGAGATGAACAGACGTTATCCACTCAAAAGTTGAATTACAGTGTTAACAGATGGTTCAGCCAAGAGAGCAGTAAAAGACGGAGTAGGAGGAACATACATAGAATGCCCAAATGGTTTAAAAATCAATCAGGCTGTACCTACATGTTCATATTCCTCCAATTACAGAGCAGAGGCAGAAGCACTTCTGGCGGCATGTTCTTTCCTGAATAGACAACAGCACAGCAAGTATAGCAGAATGGTCTTTTCGACTGACTCTGTGTTAGTTCTACATGCAATTATTGACTCAAAAGAAACTCATTTTGTAGACTTGACACAACAGCTGATTCACTTAGGCTCTTGAGTACAGGTCACTGTGTCTTGTAAGGCAATAAAATAGCGGATAGATTGGTGTGAAGCGAATATGACATGGTACAATCAAATAGTGACTTAACCCACCAAGAGACGAAAACATTAATACAGTTTAGTATCCAAGAAAGGTGGCTGGATACACACACCAGATTCTCTACCCAAGACTCGCTTCATTGCCTCTCTAGAGAGGGACAGTTATATTCAGGCTAGGAACTGGCACTATAAACTTCGTCAGCAGATGTTCAAATGTTTCAGTTTAGGAAACACGGAAACGTGTTGCTGCAGCGTGGCACCCGAAAATGCTAAGCATGTGCTCCAACACTTTCAACTGAATGCTGACAACAGAGACGCAATCTGGCCTATTCCAACCACAATGAAGACAAAACTGTATGGTACACAAGAGGATATGGATTGCACGATAGCTTTCATAAAAGCTACTGGCCTCCTAATATAAAGTGGTTTAACACTGCACGCCACAAAAAGCTCTTTAAATGACTCTGTCGTGTTGATGCGATTGAACGAGACAGACCCAAATACTGTCCCGACCGGCGCGAACGTCCTCTACTCACTGTGCTGTTAGGATTTATTTTTGCGTCCAGGAGGGAAAAAAACCAACAGCTTTCTAAGGATTCGCGTATGAGTATCGCAAATAAGAATCCTGCGCTCTTAACCTTCTTCCGTTTCGTGTTCACTGGCTGTAAACTACAACGGAACGTTCTGGTTGTTCGCCCACTTCTAGACTTCAGACTTGTTCCAGAACTTGAGTACTGCGTGCACATCCGTTTTACAGATCTGACTTATTTGTATATAGTCAGCTGGTTCCTGGCCTCTCAGGTAGATGCACTCTTCGTAGTGGACTCTTACAATATGCTTGTTGGTGAGAGAGTGGGTCTTTTCTTGTCCCCCTCCCCCCCCCCCCCACAATGGGACCCTGGTCCAGATTCCCCACACGCGGAATTTACCGTTCGTCTAGCCGTTCATCTTGTTTGTTTATTTGTTCCCTGCATTCAAGAAATCTCGTTTTGGTTTTTACTGAAACATAAAATGGCGTTGTTTCCTATCGGGACAGAATGAAAGGAAGATCAGGGGGACAGTCTAGTGTTCACCTTTGATGCAGCTCTTTGGAATGAATCAAGAGGGATCTCTTGACGATTCCAACGGATCTCACGATGGCATACCCGCGAGTCCGCATGAACATGTTTCAGGCCTCCTGGCCGACGGTATTGATGGAGATTTGGTTATTCACAGGGTGGACTCGGCTCAGGTCGTCTACAGGAGGCAGTACCCGTACAATATCGTCAAATTTATTGGCGGCAAATATTTAATGGGCAGTGTTTTGGGGGAGGGATCATATGGTAAAGTGAAAGAGCTTTTAGATATAGAATCCTTATGTCGGAGAGCGGTAAAAATCTTGAAAACACGGAAACTGCGAAGAATCCCAAACGGGGAGCAAAATGTTCGAAGGTTGGTTTAGTTTTGTTTACGCTGAATTTTTTGTTTTGTGTTACATTAAGTGTTTTAAGTTAAGATAAGAATAACAATAACTTAGTGACTTTAACTTTGGTTAGGATTAGATTACGATTAAAAAATAAAAATTTATTATCGTGTGTTTACCTTCGCAGCATATGTCTTAGCAAATTAAACCCAACGGATTTAGAATAATAGGCTATCCTCCAAATAACGGGCATATATTATTATTATGGTGGCCAAAAACACACCCTAACAGGGCCTCACTCGTATATCAATTGCGGACGTCTGACGACTACCCCCACAGCTGAGAGTATTTTCCACGCTGCTACGCGGGGCGTGGAGTGGGGCTAAGCTAGATGGCTGGGACTCGGAGCTTATAAAATAAAGGAAGCTGTAGGAGATGCGGTAGCTCCTGCTAGTGAGTCCCTGCCATCTAGTTTAGCCCCACTCCACGACATGCGTAGCTGCCTGGGAGATACTCTCGGTGGTCGCTGTAGTCGCCGGAAGTCAGCTGTTTTAACTCTTTGAGTCCCAAGGAACGCATCACACGTTCATAGGTTCCCACCTAGAAGCCCAATGAACGCATGATGCGCTGATTTTTATTACTTTCTTTACTACACCCTGGGCCTGTGATGCTAAACTCCCTGGGAAAGAGTTAAGTTGCTGGAGGTCCACAATTGACATGTGACTGAGGCCCTGTTAGGGATAGCCGAATAATATTATGAAGAATCCCAAATGGGGAGTAAGTAGTATATCCATCGAAAGTTTGTTTTGTTTACATTTAGTACTGAATTTGTTGTTGCAATGTTAAGAATGCTTGTGACTTTAGTCAGGGTTTAATAATATATGTATTTGTAATGTGTTTATTTATGAGACTCCTAGCTGAATAGACCTTGAAATGAAATAAATCCAACAAACATCCACCATCAAAGTCCCTACGAAATAAAATACAAATAATAATTCACTCTAGAAACTAAGAAATGACAGTCATTTCTAAAGAGAGGTATTATTAACATTTTTTCCATGTAGCGAACTAGACACTGTTATTAAAAAAAAAATATACTATAATAACGTTTGTAACTATCTAGTTGAAAAACTAAGTTGAATTGAGTTGGCAAAATGAAATTCGGTGACAATAATAGGTAACTTCTTATTGTTATGCCCCCCCCCCCCCCCCCCCACCACCCACTTTTTTCTGTCCAAGATTACAGTCTGTAGGATTCTTCTTCTTCGCATTTACCAGCTGTAAACTCTGGCGGAAGGTTCTGGTTGCTCGTCCACTACTGAACTGCAGTCCTGCTCCAGAACCTGAGTGTTGCGTGTGCATCAGTTTTACAGATCTCATTCTCTTGAATACAGACTGTTGGTTCCTTGCCTCTCCGGCAGATGCACTCCGACTTCAAAGGAAGCTCCCCAATTAGTCGACTCTTACGACATGCTTTTGGGGAGGCAGTGGGTCTATTCTTGTTTTCCCCACAATGGGGCCCCAGAACCCACACGGGGGTCTGTAGGATTAACATCTCAAGGGTGAGAATCAAGCAGGTACAAATCCTAGAAACCCCGTTCAGATGTTACTTAGTACCCTGTAGTCCAGTGTGGATGGGTTTTTATGTCTTATCTCCCAGTGGAGTACATCCAACCCAGCAATTGAAGACTAGTTCATGATAGGTTTGATATTGGAGCTGTACTTTTCTGCAGGACTAGGTGATCAGTCTCACACCAACTCTTTTTTGTTGCTTCTTGTGACACCATAGGAGGTTACAGGGTAACTGAAAATATTAACTCTTTCATGGTAATCTTAGTTTTAGCTTCATAGCAAATGGGTCACCCCAGCAGTGCTCCACTCTTGTGTCAACAAAAAACATACATTTCCATCACTGTACCTTGTGGAAAAATTGACACAAACTGCAATCTAAGCATATCCGCTAGCATACACACACATTAAAAGCATAAGGCAGCCATCAGAAATGCTAACACAAACAGTCCAACTTTAGAAATGCAGCTCATCATTGACAGAAGTGGCAGTTACAGACAGATCAGCAGTTGTACATGCAGTCAATTTTAATCACATAAGGCACCATCAGTACTATGGCAACCGGCCACCCACCATTTTCTGAACCAACAGTTCACAACACCACGTTCGTGACAGTAAAAAAACACATTCCAAATAAAATCTGCAGCTCACAGTGTTGCGCCATGCACTCAGCTCAGTAGCTTTGCGTCAAAACTATATACTTTCAGACTACAAATGGAGGAAAATGCAACGGCCACTGTCTGTCAGAAGCAACAAATTTACCACGATTAAAAACAATGAAGGTGCCTATCGTCCATTTGACCGGATCATTAACTCTTTATGTCGCAACCAGCGGTTATTTTAACTCCTTCTTTTCCAAGGAGCTTTGCTTAAAAACAAGGATTAGCATTGTCTACAGGAGTTAGATAAGGACACTATGAGACAGAAGTAGCTGTACAGATATTTCAGATACCAGTGGTTAATATAATGACTGTCTGTTATGAATACAGAAAGAGTTGAGTTGAGTAAAGAATTAACATCACAGGACTCGGGGCATACCCATGCATGCTCTGTCCTCATCTTCAGCAGCCTGTGCAGAGTTCCAATATTGATGGTACTGGTCACAATCTGAAATACAGAAAGAATACAATATTATCTTTAAAAGGATCGACAAACGTGAGGTGTATTTTTGGTAGTGAGAGAGTTCACTAGGATCATTTTGAAAAGATTATGAAAGGCCACTGACAAACAATAAGTATGCATTTTTTTTTTAAATCAACAGATCCTACGCTGACCAGGTGTTCATGACATTTAAAGCAGTTTAACCCATGTAAGCTCAAGGAACATACAGGGTCCGAGAGGGCAGTGCACCTAAAAAAAATTTTGTTTTTGTTGTAATCTCACTTCCGAAATATTTTATCTTCATTTTATTAATGGTTTTCTGAACCTATATTTGTCACACTAAAGAGAATTGGCTGACTCCTGAAATATGTTTAGGTTAGATTATACCACTCTGTGTGAAAAGGGTCACTTTACTCAATGTGGTAGGACAGTGTTCTTGTGCATGACTTCTGATTATAATTGTTGATAGCCGGTTAACCGCTGATACTCTGAAAAGTTATTTGTTTTCAGCTAGGTTTTGCTGATTCAAATTGCCCATTTCTGTGCAGGGAGTCCAAAGGTTCTGTCACCCATTTACTGATTTGATTGCTGGATGCGACACTGTGAACTGTGGATTTCATGGATTTCACATGGAATGTGGTGTGTTGTTGACTGTACTAAAATTGCGGGTTTTTGATTACTTTCAGAACGGCGTGTACTTTTTGTGGGTGCAATGCCAGTTTTTGTGATGGAGCATTTGCACAAACAGCTGCAGTTCAAGTGTGGGACCGTTAATGTTGGCACATATGACAGCTGCCTTATGCCTTTTTACTTTGCATGAGCAAGCTTTAGGATTTTGCTAGGACTGATCAGTTTTTCTCTCTTTTCAAATGGGACATTGTCTGGCATAGAAACTGAGCATTTATTTGGCTGCCTGTCTGCAGTGATATTGGAATCTCGACTAACAGAGCAGAAAGACAGAATACGAAATCAGACGAAAACTAGGAATCAAGCCAATTTTACAGATCATCAAAGAAAAAAAATGAAGTGGTTTGGACACCTAACAAGAATGCCCTGGTACTATCTGCCACAGCGAGCCACACTAAAATGTTACAACGGGTATAGAGAGAGGGGAAGACCTCAGAAAAAATGGAGTGATGGCATTAAGAACAGCCTTACAGAAATGAACTTCAGTCTTAATTGTGCTCTTGACAGAGCCCATCAACGAATGTTACATCTCCTCCCCCCCCCCCCCCCCCCCCCCCCCCCCCCCCCCCCCTCCCCCGACACTTCGATGAGGTACAAGGTGGAAGAGAAGAAGAAGAAGAAGACTTACAGAGCGTTCTTGTATTCTTTCTCCTCCTTTTCCATTTAAATGATGCATTGACCCAGCATTGTTCTCAGCTATTATTCATATGGTGTGTTTTCTTGGCTCTGCTTCCAGAGAGATTCAGCTGCTGAAGAGGCTGCAACACCGGAATATCATCCAGCTGATTGATGTGGTGGTGAATGATGAAAAACTGAAAATGTAAGTATGTTGGTCTAGAATGTGTCACTTTCAGGTTAAAATCGTATACATTTTTCTGCAGAACGAATTAGGAATGTTCCATCTAAAAATGATGAGTATATTTAAAAAAAGGACCCTTAGTGCTTTATTAATATCCTCACAGGACAGTCCAGCATTTTAGAGGGTGGTAAGACTGGGTTTCCCGGCTTTCTGATGCTTTCATCGACCCCAAAACATCTAGAACTGACCCTAACCTCAACCCGCCTAGGTCCCACGACTGCATACAGCCTAGGTCCCACAATTGCATGTAGTCTATCTACCACCCCCTGAAATATTAGACCGTCCCATGACCTGTGGATTGCCCCTGTTTGGGGTAAGATATTAATAAAGCATCGAACCCTCTTCTTCTTCACTTCCTCTTTTACAGCTTTAGGTGTCAAGGGAGATGCAGGGTTCTTCTTCTTGCTGTCCTCGTCGCCTCAACCATAGACACCTCGTGCTCGTGTAGTTTCTCTGATGCTATCTTTCCATTTGCTTGTTCTCCCTCATGCTCTATTTCCTTGTCTTCTTTTAGTGTCTGCCTTGTGTGGTATGGCATCACAAAGCATTTTCTCTAAGTAAATTTGTTTGATTTGCTGTCTTTGTATGTAATTTAGAATTGATTCTGTGCTGACCCTTTCTTTTATGAACTTTCATGATTTTCTCTCCTCTGGTTACTCCTGTAGTCCTTCTTGGACATCTAATTTCTATGGTTGCGGAGCTTTATTGGCCATATGATTTGTCTTATTCTGTCTTTTATTTCCCAACGGAGCATAGACCCTCAGCTAAATTACACCAGGTTGTCCTGTCCTGAGCTGTTTGATGTATCATCCTAACTTCACATCATATTTTGTGCCCGTTATTCGGAGGATAGCCAGAAATTGTTTAATTTTCTCCCATTATATACAGTAAAACCTTGTTAACATGAATTCCAAACGACTGAAAGTCAAGTTTATGTTAAAAAAAAAAAAAGAAAGTGACTAATAATAATAAAAATAACAAAAGCAAAACATTCCTGCTAAAATTGTATTCATGTTAACCAAGTGTTTTTCTTAAGTGAGTTCATGTTAATAAGGTTTTACTGTAGTTTAATCCTCTTATTTTTATAAACCAGTGGACATGTAATGGGGGATAGGATTAGTGTCTGATTACACACATCTTTACTTCCCAGAACTTTTTGAAGTACTCAGTACACTTTGGGTTGATTTCCCACTTTTAGAATATTTGAAAACATGATTGAATTTAGTTGAATGTTGAATTAAGAATCGATATCACATCACTCGGACACTCCCATAAGCGCTCCTTCCCCCATCTTCGGCAGCAAGAGATAAAATTCCGATGGTACCAGTAACAGGCTGATTGTATATCCGTCTCGCCCCGTCCCCGAGCGTTGAACGTCGGCCAGATCCCCTTGTAACTCCTCGCAGTGCCATTCTTCTCAGATCGTAATGATCTATCTGTTCCTCGGCACTGTTCACTCGCTCTCAAAGGGCCCTCACAACATCTAGCTTGTCATATATCAGTTCACCACCAAGTGGTGCAGAACCGGTCAGTCTATCTGCCTGCTCATTTCCCAACACACCGGCGTGACATGGAGAAAATATCCAAAGGACGCTAACTACCTAGGACCTCTGAAGTGATGCTTGCCAATCTGCACAGAGCATGCCTGTCTCCACCTTTCTCCACCTGTTGTCGGCCTGGATTTCTTTTTAGTTGATTGGCCATATTTGACTACTGAGCTCTTATTGAACTTTGCATTATTATATAATTTCATTTCCACTATTTGCTTGAGTGTTTGGTAGCATAGTTGGTAGCTATTCTGCTTTTCATGCAGGTGACCCGCGTTCGATTCCCCTCTAAGCGATATTATTTTTTTTTTTAGCCCTTAACTAGGCGGCTGGCACATTGTGTTGTGGTTTATGGCTAGGCTGCGATATCTACGCCTTTTTCGGCTTTGGGGTTTTCAGATAGCCTGCATCAGCGGCGACGTGATGCTCAATGGTCATGTCACGGGTAATCTTCGTTCGCCCTCGAGAGGACCGTTGGCTCGTTGTGTTGTGTTTTACAGCTATACTGCGATATCTGACCTAAACTCTTCAGTCGTCGGTAGTATAGTTGTAAGTATGTCATCCTTCACGCGGGTGACCGGTTTTCGCTTCCCCGCTGGGTGATAAATTTTTTTCCCCATAAAGGGTGGTTGCCACTTTGTGTTGTGGTTTACAGCTAGGCTGCGATATCTGCGCCTTTCGCCCAAAGACATCCGATTTCAGTTAAGTCCTAATTAGCCTCCCAGCGACATTTTTCGATCAAAAACTATTCGGCGATGACAGAAACTGTTAACTAAGACGGCTTACAGTCCAGTTTAGTTTTGGTGGACACGGATGCCAAGGTCAGTTAAAAATCGTTCCCTCGGAGAGGGAGAGATGACAGGTGCTGGGTATTTTTCTCCGCCATTCGTGAGTTTAGTGTACTTTTCACTATTGGTTCCATCACTGGTTACGTGATGAAGTTTTTTTTCCTGTGTCCGGGGCAAAATCAAACTAAATAGTCCGTGGCGACAGCATGCGGCGCTTACTCCTCTTTTCTACACTGACCTACACAGACTGTAGTGACAGTTTTTGTTGTTGTTGGTGTGATGGTGGTGGTGGTTATGGTTGCAGTAGCACTGGTACTGGATGGGTGATGTGGTAGCTGTTACACTGGCTACATTTACTTCTCTGTACAAGTTAATGCTACCTATTTAAGTCTAGGTGGACAGGGATGCAAAGCTCAATTTAGTTACAATATTTCATTACACAGTGACTTTCCCATCCTTTGGAGAAGATGATATGATTAGGTGAAGGGGAGGGGGTTGGTGTTTATGCCAGACACAGTTAGCTGAAAGAGCTTAAAATATTATTTTAAAGTTCTCATTTCTCAACTATTTATATTTTAATAATTTCGCCATGGATGATTTTTCAGTCCTTCGGAGATGGAGATATGACTTCGCCAGGTGATGATTTTTCAATCTTTGGGAGAGGGAGATATGATTGGGGGAGGGGTTATGGCAGACACCGTTAGCTGAGAGAGCTTAAAATATTATTTTAATTTCTCATTTCCTAACTATTTCTATTTTAATCATTTCGCCAGGTGATGATTTTTTAATCCTACGGAGAGGGAAATGTGATGGGGGGGAGTTGCCAAGCACAGTTACCTGAGAGAACTTAAAATATTATTTTAAAGTTCTTATTTCTCAACTATTTCTATTTTAATAATTTCGCCATGGATGATTTTTCAATCCTTCGGAGAGGGAGATATGACTGCGTCGAGGGGAGGGGGGGGGGGGGTATGACAGACACTGTTACCTGAGAGCTATTTTCTTTCCTCTCTATTTCACCATTCTGGGCCACAGCAACGCGTGGCCGGGTACAGCTAGTATTACTAATACATCACGTAAGTGAACCTAAATATCATTAATGTATAAAATGTGAACCTATATGTTGCTAATGTATCACATAAACCTACATATTGTCATATACATAAATGAGCCATTATGTTGCTGTCCAGGTACATAGTGATGGAGTACTGTGCATGTGAGCTGCAGGAAATGCTGGAAAGTGTGTCTGAGAAAAAGTTCCCCATTTGGCAAGCTCATGGGTGAGTAGATGTTGGAACTGCTTTGTTGGGTTCTTGAGTACAGTTTTTATGAGAACCCTGAGGATGATTGGTAGAGCTGTGGACTTTTGTGCAACACTCTCGGGAGATGGCTATCTGTTCTGCATATGGACATCGAGCTATCTGGGAGAAAACTTTGTGCTGGGAGAAAACTTTGTGCTGGGAGAAAACTTTGTGCCGTAAAGCTCATTTTGGGTTTTGACTTTAGATCCTGGAACAGACAAACTGCAAGATTTTGATTGATTAATTAAAATAGGTGTCAGAGCACTTTAAACACATGTATATGTGTACTATGTCTCCCTCAGTACTCTGTGTGTAGTGATGTTGATTCACTGAAACAGAGCTTTGGGAGAGAACTGGTCAAATTTCAGGTGGTAATCAAGAGATGAGGAAAAGTTGCTGGTGATGAACAGTCGCTCCTTGCTGAGGGTTATAGTAAGCAGATGATCTAAGCACTTATGCACTGAATGGCTCAGTGTGCAGTGAGTATGATGTGCCAGCTCATCATCGTAAAGCAGGTCCTTCGCAAATCGTCACTCTCATCACGAACTGCCTAAAAGAAACTTGGTCTCTAGCCAGCTCTCCCACCTTCTGTACTTTCAAATTCAAGGAGTCACTTATATCCTGTGTCCATCTTCATGTTGGTCGGCCTCTGCCCCTCCTTTCTGGTACCATACCTTCTGCTATTATTTTTTTTAGTCTGCCTTGGCACTTGATAGACCAAAATGTTTCTTCAAGTTTCCGAGACAAGATGCTGTTTATGTGTCAACTAGCAAGGATAAATATTGACGATAATATAGCTAGAATTCGGAAAAGCTAACCTGGGCAACAAATGCCTGTAGAAGTCAGTGTGTTGGCCAAAAAGGACAAATGTTTCAGCCATACAATAAACGGGCACAAAGTAGTTACATTCTTGGAAGAATGCAGAAGAAGAAGATATAACTAGAATATCTTTCAAAACAGGAGTATCCGTGGTGGAACGGCTTGACGCTCACCACGGATCGGAAGGTCGTGGGTACGATCCCTGAAGGAGCCAGACTATTTTCAAAAATGACCTTGGCTCCTAGGTCGACCCAGCCTTGAGTGGGTACCGGGTGCAGTCCTGGGAAGTAGAGGCGGCCGGCATGATGCTGACCACATCACCCATCTTGTGCTGATTGGTCTGTAAAAATATAGGTCTAGCCCTATATGCCCTATACGCCTAAAGGTGTGGAAAAGGGTCCTTTACTTTTTTTTTTTCACTTTTAAATATCTTTCAAAACATGACATAGAGAAAATAATTAGACACAGATGTGTTGAGTGTGAAGTTCTGTTTCCATCTTTCCAGATGATATTGTTATTTTGTGCTAAAGGGAGGCTTAAGTATCACAGCCCATGGTAATGGGCTGTTAAGGCCAGGGATGAGGTTCCTCCTTTCCATAGCACAAAGCCTGGGCCATATCGCAAAGACAATGTGTTGCCCACACACCATGATTTCCCATCTTGGCCTGCTTTGTTTGCACCAAAGAAGAGGTAATAACGATGTGTTTGGAGCAAAGCATACAGCAGAAGCTGCTGGATCAGAAGAGCAGTGCTCTGTCTGCCCTGTGCACATGCCCTGTGTAAATAGTGATAAATGATATGGTTACTTAGCTGGACTGGGCAAATGATGTTCACTGTTGCCACAAATGATGTTTACTGTTGCCACAAATGATTTTTACTGTTGCCACAAATGATGTTTACTGTTGCCACAAATGATGTTTACTGTTGCCACAAATGATGTTTACTGTTGCCACAAATGATATTTACTGTTGCCACAAATGATGTTCACTGTTGCCACGAATGATGTTTACTGTTGCCACAAATGATGTTTACTGTTGCCACAAATGATTTTTACTGTTGCCACAAATGATGTTTACTGTTGCCACAAATGCTGTTTACTGTTGCCACAAATGATGTTCACTGTTGCCACAAATGATGTTCACTGTTGCCACAAATGATGTTTACTGTTGCCACAAATTATGTTTACTGTTGCCACAAATGATGTTTACTGTTGCCACAAATTATGTTTACTGTTGCCACAAATTCTATTTACTGTTGCCACAAATGATGTTCACTGTTGCCACAAATGCTATTCACTGTTGCCACAAATAATGTTCACTGTTGCCACAAATGATGTTCGCTGTTGCCACAAATGATGTCATGTGCTGAACTTGTTATTCTGATTATTCTGTTGACATCTGGGCCTCTGAAAAAAACAACTATTCAGAATTGATATTGAAACTACATAAGGCAGAAGGTTGTGGATAGACATGACTGCCAACTTCACAGGTCATAAACTATAAGAAGTTATGAACTGGGTCAGGGAGAAGACCATGGAACAAATGTGTGTTATCAAAAAAAACCTTAGAGAAAAGAAGACCAACTTGCACAGCACATTAAAAGAGCAAACAGAAGATCCTGAAATCCCCCACCTGCACTTTACTGTGGTAATTGAAAGCAGATAAAAAGAATAGAATGCAGACTGCAAATCAAAGATAGGCAGCCGGATACACAGCCTTTGAAAACTAAGCAGTTCAACTTGGCACACACAAAAACAAGATGACAGGTGTAATTATGACTGTGCTGAGCAGGTTGGACATAGTGAAATGTTTCCTTTTTTTTTCTTCTTCAAAAATTGATTGACTCTGTTTGACACTGACTGTGTCTGATACTTTCAGGTATTTCTGTCAGTTGGTAGATGGCCTGGAGTATCTACACAGCCATGGCATCATCCACAAGGACATTAAACCTGGCAACTTGCTGGTCACAAACGATGAGACTCTGAAGATTACAGATTTTGGTGTAGCTGAGGTACGGGCCTTGTCTTGTATGTTGTATATCTCTGTTGTTAATGTAGAGGTCAGTAAAGGACCCTTTTCCCCGCCTTTAGACGTATTGGGCCTAAAGTGTTAGACCTGTACTATTCTAGACCCATCAGCATTTGGTGGGTGGTGTGGTCAGCATCATACCGGCCGTCTTTACTTCCCAGGACTTTACCTGGGACCTAATTAAGGCGGGGTTGACCTCGGAGTCAAGATCATTGTTTTTTCTCTACACACTTTTAGATTTCACTTTTTCTGTTGTGTTTGCCTTTTTATAAAAAAGGACTTTCTGGTTATACTGTTAACAATTCTTCTCAATGTGGGACCTATCCATCTTCAGTGCCTTTTTGTCTTCAGTGATTAACATTTTCTTTGCATCTATTACATGTCACAAAATATAACGGTGCACTGCTATCTTTTCTAAGTCCAGGAGGCATTAATGTCCAGCATACCTTTATCTACCTTTGTCACATTATTTTTATTCTATTTTTTTTAATGCTTATTTTATTTTATTTAATATTATTATTTTATTTCATCTTTTATCAGTACCAGTTATGGATCATTGATATTTATAGTTCTGCTACTGTTTTATTCCTACTATTATATATCATTACTATTACTTTTACAGGTATTTCTTTAGCCTTCCTTTATTTTATATTTTATTTTATTAATTCCACATTACCCTTTTTTTTAAGTAATCTTTCATCACCCCTTGGTTTTTATTACTCCCCTTTGTTATTGTTGTCCAGTTTAGTTCATTTTGAGAAAGGCCCCGGCTGAAACTTTGATTTGTTGGGGTGTTGTTTTGTGCACAGTTTTTTACTTCCCCGTTTCGTTAAGTTTGTAAGTTACAGTTCACTGCATTTATTTCTTGGTATCTGCTTCACTGCAGTCACCCCTGTTTTCATTGCTACCTTTTCTGCATCTTGATTGCTTGTCTATCCAGTTACCTCCCTAAGCTTTGCATTAGTGATTCTGTCTTACCATTTAGTTATGTTATGCACATAAACCATTTAATGAGTGTGTGTAGATTATTATTAATTGTTTTCATCGTTTTCATTTTGTGAGTCCTATCACAGTACTGATTTAGGACTTGAGTTAAATATTGCAGAGTTTCGTTGAATCTCTTGTGATTCCTGCAAATTTCTTCTTGCTGTAAAAAGCTGCTAGTGCCGTGAAGGCTCCTCTTGCCATTAAAAACTTGTCTTGCCAGGAAAGCTCTTTTTTGTCAGGAAAGTTTTTTATTTTGCAGTGAAAGCACTTTTTTGCAGTGAAAGCGCCTCCTGTCACGAAAACATCCTGCCATGAAAGCTCTTCTTACCATTTAAGCTGTGTTTGCCATGAAAGCTCTTTTTACCATGAAAACTGGTCTTGCCATGAAAGCTCTTCTTAACATGAAAACTGGTCTTGCCATTAAAGCTCTTTTTACCATGAAAACTGGTCTTACCATGAAATCTCCTGCCATGAACGCTCTTCTTGCCATAGAAGCTCTGTTTGCCATTAAAGCTCTTTTTGTCATGAAAGCTGGTCTTGCCAAGAAAGCTCCTCTTTAGTGAAAGCTCTTTTTGCCATGAAAGCTCTTTTTGCCATGAAAACTGGTCTTGCCATAAAAGCTCTTTTTACCATGAAAACTGGTCTTACCATGAAATCTCCTGCCATGAACGCTCTTCTTGCCATAGAAGCTCTGTTTGCCATTAAAGCTCTTTTTGCCATGAAAGCTAATCTTACCAAGAAAGCTCCTCTTTAGTGAAAGCTCTTTTGCCATGAAAACTGGTATTGCCAAGAAAACTGGTATTGCCAAGAAAACTGGTATTGCCAAGAAAACTGGTATTGCCAAGAAAACTGGTATTGCCAAGAAAACTGGTATTGCCAAGAAAGCTCCTCTTTAGTGAAAGCTCTTTTGCCATGAAAGCTCTTCTTACCATGAAAACTGGTCTTGCCATGAAAGCTCTTCTTACCATGAAAACTGGTCTTGCCATGAAAGCTCTTCTTACCATGAAAACTGGTCTTGCCATTAAAGCTCTGTTTGCCATTAAAGCTCTTTTTGCCATGAAAGCTGGTCTTACCAAGAAAGCTCCTCTTTAGTGAAAGCTCTTTTGCCATGAAAACTGGTCTTGCCAAGAAAGCTCCTCTTTAGTAAAAGCTCTTTTTGCCATGAAAACTGGTATTGCCATGAAAGCATCTTCTTGCAATGGAAGCTCTGTTTGTCATGAAAGCTCTTTTTGTCAGGAAAGCTGAACTTGTCCTGAAAGCTGTTCTTAAGTGAAAGCTCCTTTTTGCAATGAAAGCTGGTCTTGCTGTAAAAGCTCTTTAGTGAAAGTTCTTCTTTGCCATGAAAGCTCCTCTTTCTGTGAATGCTCTTCTTTATTGAAAGCTCTTCCTTGCTTTTCTGTATCAGATTACATTTGCCATATTATCATACCTGTTGCCTACAGGAGCTGAACACGTTTGCCAGAACAGATGAATGTCATGTTAGCCAGGGAACCCCTACTTTCCAGCCACCGGAGATAGCCAATGGCCAAAACACCTTTTCTGGCTTCAAAGTGGACATTTGGTCAAGTGGGGTTACACTGTAGGCATTTTTTTTGTTGTTTTGTTTTTTTAGTCTTCTGTTTGTGTATTTTTTCTGTGTGTGGGTCCAGTAAATGTTGCTAATTGTGGTGTTTCGGTTTCCTCGGCGCTAATGAGTTCATGCTTAGTGTCGCTGTCATACAACCTAATGTGTGCACAGTCTGAGCTTAAGATGTTTTTATATATATATGTAAGTAACAGTTTTCTCACCTTTAAACTCTAATTTCGAGATGAGAATGTCAAAGCTGTATTTTTTTTTTTTTTTTAAATAATTTTAAAGACACTTGTAAGTATGACATTTTTTTAAACTTTTATTTTTCTGCATTTTGCCATTTTGATAACATTTCATATGGTAGTTTTCTTTATTAATTCAGGCAAATTATTTTGATTAAGTTAGATCAGTAGTTTCAAGACTTACTGCAGCTTGATTTCTAGGTCTCACAGTTAATGTCCTGATGAGCACACATATAAACTTGCACAACACTCTTGGTGTTTATGCCACTTCAGTTCTGATCTTGCACACGCACTCACCTCATTCCACTGTAGTGCTCTTAGTCAGCAGATCATCCTTGCTGCACATTCAGTCTCTGAGTGATACAGCTTCTGTAGATCTCTCAGCATGTACAGTGGTTGTGTGGTCAACAGTTTAAGACCACCTAATAAATAATGGGTTTGTTCCATACTGTTAGGCGGCACCAGCGCAGCGACCAGCATGGGATAAACCAAGCACCAGCAACAGTCAGCAAAATCCACAGAGATAGGAGTTAAGAGAGCCGGACCAGACCGGGACCCAGAACCCCAAATACCACACCGGACATAGGACTTAGGAAGATAAAGAACAGGAATATCAGGTGTGACTTGAAACCACAAAAATAGGACACCAGATAAGATAGCCAAGGATCCTTCCTTCTTATAGCAGGCCTTCCGGAGGCTGAAAAAGGATCAAGTTTTGAATTTGTGTTTATCATTTGGAATTGAGAAATATTGTTAGGTAAAGGAAATTACTGCAATCTTCTTTCTACCCTAAAATATCAGTCTATACAGTACTCAGTAACACCAGGGACATATCTACCAAGGAGTTTTTAAACTTGTGGTCACACCTGTAGGGGCCGACACTTGTTGTGTCTTGTTTTGCTGTTTATCTGTGGCCACCTGCATGATACTGTTGTCAGGCTTCATCTTTTTTTTTCACCTTGGGGTACTTCACCGCTGAACTGGAGCAAGGTAGAATTGTAACCTATTGCTGTTGGTGCTGTTATGTATTGACAGTTATATATTGCGTCTGTGGTTTATGGAGGTTGAGGCAGTCTCTGCTGCCTTCTGCTGGCTTGAGAATCAGCTGTACTCACACGCTGTGATTGTAACTGACTCACAGAGCATGTTGTGAAAGGTTAAAAAAGGCATGCTGCTTCATGCAGAGTGACAAGCATCACTTCAGATCCCTGGTAGTTAGCATCCTTTGGATATTTTCTCCAGGTTATGCCGGTGTGTTGGGAAATGAGCAGGCAGATAGAATGGCTGGCTCTGCACCACTTGGGGGTGAATTGATGTATGACACGTTAGATATTGTGAGGGCCATTGGGAGCAAGTGAACAGAGCAGAGGCACAGATAGATCATTACGGTCTAAGGAGAATGGCGCTGTGAGGAGTTACCAGGGGATCAGGCTGACGCTCAACACTCGGAGGAAGGATGAGATGGATATACAGTCAGAGGGTTACTGTTACCATCAGAATTAGAACTCCTCGCTTGCTGTTGAAGATGAGGATTGAGCACTTCTGGGAGTGTCCCGAGTGTTGTGATGTCGATTCTCAATTCAACATTCAGTTTGTGGTTTAGGCATTGCAAAAACACTTTGTAATTCCAAGATGCATGAATCAATTCTAGCCGACTGACTTCTGGTTTGGCAGCAGATCACTTGCACTGATGTCCGCATGGGTATCAAGAGCTGACAGTTGAGTAAGCAGTGGCAAACTATTAAACATAAAATTACTTAGTAAAACCAAAGACATCTAGCAAATGCTGTGGCTGGTTCTGAAATATCCTGTAAAGAAGATGCAACTGACTTAAAAAAAATATATATATATATACTGCATGTTTGCACATGTTCCCTTGGATCAGCTTTCAGTTAGTAATTTTATTTCTTTTATTTAGTTTATTGTGGTATTTTGTTGTATGTCAATCTGCCAACTATTTTCTTATAAATATTTCACTTTTAATTCTTCTTCTTCTTCTTCTTCTTCTTCTTCATATTCGCATTCACCGGCTGTAAACTGCGACGGAAAGTTCTGGTTTATCGTCCATTTCTGGACTGCAGTCCTGTTCCAGAACCTGAGTGTTGCGTGTGCATCTGACTAATTTGTATGCAGACTGTTGGTTCCTTGCCTCTCAGGCAAATGCACTCTGACTTCGGAGGAAGCTCCCAATTAGTCGACTTGTGGGTCTGTTCTTGTTTTCCCCATAATAGGGCCCCGGAACCCACACGGGGACCCACACTTTTAATTTTCTAAATTGATCAGTCAGATGCTCTCTACACAATAATGGTTGGCTGCCGTGGATCTTCGACACGCTCTTGTCTCTTTTCTTGGTACTACACTCTCTCAGACTGCTGTTCATCAGTCTCCTGATATTGTCCTCCCACTCTTAATTACAAATACTGAAATGTGGTCTGATCGTACCCTCATTTATAAACAGTCATAACTCTGAGTATAGTATCTGTAATAAGTTGAGGGGAAAGATACAACTGGCAGGGAGAGGTGTGAGTTGGAGTTGCTTCAAAATCATGTGAATGTTGGATAGGCTTGTTTTGTTTAGGATGAAAGTTTCAGGAATCTTGTCTTCCACTAGATGTTTGGGCACTGAATGAAAGTGTGACTTGCACATTGAGGTGGGTTTTTGGTGAGAGAGAGAGAGTGAAGTGCTTTGCGACCTCACTTTCTAAACTAAATCCATCTTCTTCTTCCCGTTTACCAGCTGTAAACTCTGGCGGAAAGTTCTTGTTTTTCATCCACTTCTGGACTGCAGTCCTGTTACAGAACCTGAGTGTTGCTTATGCATGCGTTTTACAGATCTGACTAATTTGTATGGAGACCGCTGGTTCCTTGCCTCTCAGGCAGATGCACTCCGACATTGAAGGAAGCTCCCAATTAGTCGACTCTCACGACATGCTTTTGGGTAGGGGGTGAGTCTATTCTTGTTTTCCCTCTAACAGGGCCCAGGAAGCCACACAGGGAAACTAAATCCATCTTAGACCAGGGGCAAGAAAAGTCGAGAGCAGCAGTAGTGGTTGGCCAGAGCATTTGTAGTGCCTGTCTACACTCACAGCTCTCCATAGAGCATGCTGGTAGTCACCGTAACATTCATTTAGCCATAGGAGATGTCATCCACGCAGTCTGCAGAATCCTGTCTCAACTAATGGTCAAGACGCTGGGGTTGGATAGGACATACATTGAGACCACTTGAGAACAGGATAATTAGAACGTCTTTGCACTGGAACTCACAGTGGCAATGAAATAAAGGAAGACCCCAAAAACTCAGGAGGAAGGGAGCTAGAGAGTGAAGTTAAAAAAGTTTGGGAGAGCTGCGGTAGCGAAGGATAAAACTTCTTGGCCTGAGTTGGTTGAGGGGCTATGCTTCATTGGGGCTAGAAAGGCATAAGAAGAAGAAGAATTGTCAGCTTTGCCATTGATAACCATAGATGTAAATACTCAACAAAGTAACTTGCAAATAACCTGAAAATAATCATGAAAATAGAATTTTGACTTGAGCTTATCCTTATAAGCGATTGACTGATGTGAAAGAAGATATAAGCAGTAGTTGTGCAGCGTTGTTTTTTTAAGTGCATTACTTTTTCGATATCTGTCGGGAATGTTCACACAGTAAATATACTAAAATCTGAACGATACAGAGAAGATTATCATGATCCCTGGGAAAGGATGATACACACAAATTCGTGAATCGTTCCATATTTTCACACTGTCGTCTGGAAAGGTGCTAGTCGTAGGTTATAAAAGCAGTTTCATACTTGTGCAGTACTGGGTCCAATTTGACTGCAGGTTTTTTGGCAGCAGGCATATATGGCTAGACCTATATTTTATAGACTGTGGTCAGCATCACGCCGGTTACCTTTACTTCCCAGGACTGCACCTGTTACCCACTCAAGGCTGGGTCGACCTAGGAACCAAGGTCATTTTTACAAATAAAAAAAGTCCGGCTCCGCCAGGGAGCGAGCCCACGACCTTCCAATCCATGGCAAGCATCTAGCTGCTCCGCCACGGGGACTCCCAGGCTGCTTTTGAGTTCATTTAAGTATCGAACCATCCAGAAGGCTGTAGCAAATTACTAAATGTAAAATTGCCTGATAAAACCAAAAATGTCCAAAAATTATGGGTCGGTTTACTGCATGCTATAAATAATATGCAATTAACTGTTTAAAATTACTCTTTCAGATACAATATTACTACTGGAAAATATCCTTTTGAGGGAGAAAATATCTATATTCTCTTTGAGAACATTGGGAAAGGAGTTTACTCAATACCTGAGGGAGTTTCTGACTTGTTGGAAGATTTACTGAGAGGTCAGTGTGATTTGATACTACTGAAGTTTCCCATGTGGGTTCTGTGGCCCAGTTGTGGGAAAAACAAGAATGGCAAGTCATAAGAGTTGACTGACTGGGGGCTTCCTTCGACATCGGAGTGCATCTGCCTGAGAGGCAAGGAACCAACAGTCTGCATATAAATAAGCCAGATCTATAAAACGGATGTGCGCGCAATACTCAGGTTCTGGAGCTAGACATTTGTCCAGATGTTGACGAACATCCAGAAATTTTCACTGGAGTTGTGGCCTGTGAACGCAAGGAAGATACTACCAGTGATCACTTTATTTTTTAAGAAGATACTACCAGTGATCACTTTATTTTTTAAGAAGATACTACCAGTGATCACTTTATTTTTAAGAAGATACTACCAGTGATCACTTTATTTTTTAAGAAGATACTACCAGTGATCACTTTATTTTTTAAGAAGATACTACCAGTGATCACTTTATTTTTTAAGAAGATACTACCAGTGATCACTTTATTTTTTAAGAAGATACTACCAGTGATCACTTTATTTTTTAGGAAGATACTACCAGTGATCACTTTATTTTTTAAGAAGATACTACCAGTGATCACTTTATTTTTTAAGAAGATACTACCAGTGATCACTTTATTTTTTAAGAAGATACTACCAGTGATCACTTTATTTTTTAAGAAGATACTACCAGTGATCACTTTATTTTTTAAGAAGATACTACCAGTGATCACTTTATTTTTTAAGAAGATACTACCAGTGATCACTTTATTTTTTAAGAAGATACTACCAGTGATCACTTTATTTTTTAAGAAGATACTACCAGTGATCACTTTATTTTTTAAGAAGATACTACCATTGATCACTTTACTTTTTAAGAAGATACTACCAGTGATCACTTTATTTTTTAAGAAGATACTACCAGTGATCACTTTATTTTTTAAGAAGATACTACCAGTGATCACTTTATTTTTTAAGAAGATACTACCAGTGATCACTTTATTTTTTAAGAAGATACTACCAGTGATCACTTTTTTTTAAAGAAGATACTACCAGTGATCACTTTATTTTTTAAGAAGATACTACCAGTGATCACTTTATTTTTTAAGAAGATACTACTAGTGATCACTTTATTTTTTAAGAAGATACTACCAGTGATCACTTTATTTTTTAAGAAGATACTACCAATGATCACTTTATTTTTTAAGAAGATACTACCAGTGATCACTTTATTTTTTAAGAAGATACTACCAGTGATCACTTTATTTTTTTAAGAAGATACTACCAGTGATCACTTTATTTTTTAAGAAGATACTACCAGTGATCACTTTATTTTTTAAGAAGATACTACCAGTGATCACTTTATTTTTTAAGAAGATACTACCAGTGATCACTTTATTTTTTAAGAAGATACTACCAGTGATCACTTTATTTTTTAAGAAGATACTACCAGTGATCACTTTATTTTTTAAGAAGATACTACCATTGATCACTTTACTTTTTAAGAAGATACTACCAGTGATCACTTTATTTTTTAAGAAGATACTACCAGTGATCACTTTATTTTTTAAGAAGATACTACCAGTGATCACTTTATTTTTTAAGAAGATACTACCAGTGATCACTTTATTTTTTAAGAAGATACTACCAGTGATCACTTTATTTTTTAAGAAGATACTACCAGTGATCACTTTTTTTTAAAGAAGATACTACCAGTGATCACTTTATTTTTTAAGAAGATACTACCAGTGATCACTTTTTGTTTTAAGAAGATACTACCAGTGATCACTTTATTTTTTAAGAAGATACTACCAGTGATCACTTTATTTTTTAAGAAGATACTACCAATGATCACTTTATTTTTTAAGAAGATACTACCAGTGATCACTTTATTTTTTAATCTTAACAGGAAACCTCATTCTTTCAATAATGCTTCATTTTTTGAGTCGTGTGGGGAAGTTGCATAAATTTGGAGTTAAGTGTGGATCCAGTCTAAAAAAAATTAGGGTTCAAATCCGCACCAGGCAGATATAGAATAAAACTGACCTCAGTTCCCAGGTAAGCCCAACCTAAAATAGGTAAAAGGAAAATTTGTTGGGTAGTAAAGATGACCAGAGGGGAATTGGTCACATTGTCCGATTGCCTATTGTTCCTAAACAAAATGAGGCTAACATCATATGCTCAGAGCATTCCCTGGTGTGAAAAGGATTGCTTAGTTTATTTGTGGATTCTGCAAAAATGGAAAGTAGAGAGTGTATGCTGCTGGAACTATCGGCAGAACATCTGTGAGTATGCCCTATGTACTATGATGTTGATTCCTTACACTAGGAGACCTGAGGCCCTGAACCTAACCACCCCCTATACCTGAGTGCCTGGGCATTTACACACAAAAATCAACATGTTATACAAAAATATGAGTTACATGCAAACAGGTGGTTAGAATAAGACAAAACTTGGAGACCTTGTAGAAAATAGGTTTACCTTTCATCTAGCGCCAATATTCCACCTTTGTTTGCCAATCCATCCAGCTGCAACCGCTTTGTTTCACAAAGTGAGTACCAGATGTTGCTTTTCAAAGGACACGCCCCCTTCTCTTACCATCGATCTAGTTTTAAATGTATAATTTTCAAGATTCTCCTCAACACTCGAGCTCTCACTGACTGTGTCACTTCAACTGGAAAGGTATTCTTCATGAAATTCTGACTCCTGAGAGTCTGAATCAACCAAAGTATCGATCACCTGTTGGACTGTGAAAAACCTTGACCAATTTCACTTTCCTTCAATGTGTTTGGTTCATCAGCCGCTCATTTCATTGTCAGTTTTCAGAATTTATTTCACGTTAAACCACACAAAGTAAATCCAAACACACCTGGGCAAACATCTGGAGTGACTATTCATAAGGTCGGACCACGATTGGCTAGTTATTTTTAGTTAGTGACACATTGTTTTCACGTAGTACGCAAAGTACTGACAATGAGGTACGCTGGTTTAGCGGCAGATAAAGAAATTACCACATAAGCAGTACATCGGTCTGGTAGAGTTAAGTCAGTAATCAGTCATGGATAATTTCACAACAGATATTTGGAGGGGTGAATAACTGCTTTGAAAACAAAGACATCGTCTGGACTTTGACCATCCACACTTGACCATCCACACTTACCGATGACCATCCACACTTGACCATCCACACTTACCGATGACCATCCACACTTGACCATCCACACTTACCGATGACCATCCACACTTGACCATCCACACTTACCGATGACCATCCACACTTACCGATGACCATCCACACTTACCGACCAACAGATAGTAATAATGATAGTAAATATAGAAAGATAACTATATTGGTGTGGTCAAAAAAGATTCAGGAACTGATGCTATAGAATGCATAGCATGTATATGCATATAAAACTATTGTAAAAATTCTGTACAATAATTATACTTAGATTGATTTAATTTGATTTTTTTACAGACGATGTAACTGCTATGAATGAAAATAGTGTTAAATAATATGAATTGGACTTACCATCTGTTAATTGGAATGGAACGGAACTCTGTCATAAGTCACGGAGACCATGTATATGTGAATTTCTTTCAATTAAAGTGGCTACCAGGGAAGCAGTCTTGTCATCTAGAATGCTTTTCATCATCATGTGCTCTATCAGTAGAAGTAGGCAGTCGTGGTTTGCCATCCCACACGATCACCAGATCTAGTGCTCTTGTCCTGCCCTATCAGCGTGGCTAGGCCATCAAAGTATTTATACCTTTGCCTTTCCCATGCTTATTTTTTTGTCGTGCATGCCGGTTGTCACTATGTTCTTGAATCCATTTCTTATAATGTAGCCAGAAAATATTGTCTATCTACGCCTAATTTTTTTGGTCATTAACGGATTAGAAAGACTACCATGAAGCGACAGAAAAACACACAAATGGGTACTCATTGAGATAAAGGAAAGATGTACGCTTACTAGAGTAGTTAAATGTAGTCAGTTGGTGTTTTGTCTCTCTCTCTCTCTTTTTCACGCGCCCACACACACACACACACACACACACATATTATGAAAGGGAATGAACTTGGTAACAACTGGCAAGATTGATGGAAAGAGAGTGAGGAAGGCAAAGAGGTGAATTCCTGGATGGGTCGAGACAAGGACATTAACCTGATCTGTGGTTCTGGTTATCAAGTGAGGTGACGAAACATGGCAGCCTACATGTACCGGCACGGTACAAGATGATGGTATTTATAATTTTCGACTGTCACAAGGAGGACTGCGTTTAATTTTCTGTCATTCCATAATACTATTTGCATGTTTCTAAACAAACATACTGTTTACAAATTTTTGTTGGCTGTATGTACTTATTGTCCATGTCTCACACTTACTGTGTGGCACTTCAACACTGTTGGTTGGTTGGCAGTTGTACCCCACCAGGACATCACACAAGCGATAAACACCCAGTGACACAAAGTGCCACCAAGCGGATGAGGATCACCCATGGAGAGGTCACAGAAACCCCTTTCAGCTGTCAGGCCATATTAATGGCCCGGCTAAATTCAGGGCCCCGGACAAAAGCCAGGGTGGCTCTTCAAATAACACTGTAACACTGTTATTCTCACCTCAGCTGCCACTGTTACCAAAGGTAACCAAATATGGGTCATGTTGATGTGAAAGTAATATGTAGTATTTTTCTTTCTCATCCATTAATGTAGTTCATTCTTCACTGGATTTTTTTTTTTGGCTTTAATTCGCAGGAATGCTAACTATTGAGTCCGAAAAGAGATTCAGCTTGCAGCAAATACGGCAGCATCTGTAAGTTGTCTTTCTTTTCTGTACGAGCTGCCCAAAATGTGACTTCACAGCCTTAAACTACTTCCTTTTGTCATAAATATCTCTCACAGTTTAGGTATCTTTCTTTTCCCTTTTCTGCATTTTCTCTTAACCCTATAACCTTATAAATGACATACAAGCTTGTTGATGTATTGTGTGTGTAATGGGGGTAGCAGCAGCTCTAAATTTCATTAGAAGGCAACAGGTGAAATGGTTTGGCCATATCCCGCAGATGTAAGCAAACAGTGTACCATGGCATGCAGTGATGTACAGACCAGGGGGGAAGCAAAGAAGAGGCAGACAATGCAAATTATGGACAAAGGGACTATTAAGAGTCCCTGGGAATCCACAAGGTGGCACTTTTCCATAAATTGTACTTCACCTGGACACCACAAGAATGTTGAATTAAGAATCAACATCACAGCACTCAGGACACTCCCATAAGTGCTCAGTCCCCATCTTCAGCAGCTAGTGAAGAGTTCAAATTCCGATGGTACCAGAAACCGATACCACAAGGTACCAAAGGATCAAGATCAGAGAGAAAGAGAGAGAGAGTGTGTGGGTGGGTATATGTGTGTGTAAGGGGAGGGGGGGGGGGTGCATGATGTCTTTGGGCAGTGGTCACTATGCTTGCATAACAGCTTTGGTGCTGGTTGCAGTTGCATGGTGTGTGTGGGTAACTTATAGGTTAATATATTTGATACAAATTGTTCAGTGCTATCATGCACAATGAAGCTTGGCTGTGATGCACCTCCAGCACCGCCACTAGCCCTTGTTGAACACTCTGATACGTCTGCTTTTTTTGTCCATCTGCTGATGTTTATTTGCCCATTTGCATCACTGCCTACCTCTTGCTCAGCTGCTGTTTGCTTCAAACATCTGCAGCTGGTTCAGAAAGCAGCATCCAAGGATGCTCGAGCGTGTGATGATTCCTCCCCGGTCTGATGCCCCGAGTGATCGACTGCGCTCCCTGACAATTATCAGGTGCCTTCATGCCATGCATTCTGATGAGCCCAGTAATGAAGAAGAGGATTCAGAGGAAGAAGAGATTGCCACGATAGTAGAGTCCCGGAACCGAATTTATCACAGGAACAACCCAATTTCTAGTGAAGGTATGTTTTGATTTTGTCTCCAATTGTGATGAATAGGTTTGTATTTCTACTCGTTGTCTAGGCGGTGTTCATGCGTGTGTGGTGGATGATATTCTCACAAGCTTCACGTTACACACCTGGCACAAGCCGACACCTATGTGAGCTTACGAGAAATTACTTTATTGACGTATTAAAACTTACGACAAACAGAATCGTCCAGTCGATGTCTAATTGAACCGCTTTCGTACACAAACTCACGCAGCCTTTAACGAACAGTCTTCTGCAGGCATTCAAGCAACGATGGGTCCCATGGATTCAACACTGACGTTTGGACATCTCACACGCTGGCACGGTCGATCTCAGCTTAACACTTCGTCGGCAGGTCTCCTTTCTCCTCAGGCACTCACGTAGACATTCGCACATTCAGTCGCTCGTCCTCTCGCTCCAACAGGTCGACACAAACTAAACTTGACCAGAGTCAAGTCCGACTTATACCACGGGTTCCTTTCACGTGACAACACGTGGTGGTCCTTTACTTTTCCCGTGGCGACCTTGGGTCGCATCACCGTGGTCCCCGTGATAACTAGTGGTTAGTCACCTATCTCCAGATTCTCGTTTAATCCAAGTATCTGGACTATCTCGGTGTTTTTGGTCAGCTTTGGGCCTTCCCCCCAGCCATCCTAAACTGGGTCGAAAATATCCCCCATTACATTCTCCCTTCCCCGTATAAAAAAAAAGTTTACTTTTTTTTTTTTTCATTATCGTTAATGGATAGGAGTATATTTTATGTAATGCTTGGGTATTTTCACTGGTATCATGGGTAAAAAATTTTTTCCACCCCTTTTGGGTAATTCATGTTTTTCCTTTGGAACTTTGTCAGTTGTCATGCCCAGTGAGTATTATGTGGCATAATGGAATCAACACCCCAGGCAATACTCTTTCAATTGCGGAAGACCATAAAGGCTCTACGCGTTTCCCACCTCATCCCACAGTCTGTCAAACGACAGAAAATCACCTCAGGCACTACTCTTCCAAGTGCGGAAATCCATAACGGCTATGGAACAATAATGTAAACCCGTAAAGTTCCACCCTTGCCACTATACTCACCGAACATCCACTGATGTTATTTCCATTGGATATTCATTTATTTCCCCTTATAGGTGATATGGATTTTATCTCCCCTACCTATAGTGATTTCCCAACAGTCTTTATTACATTTCTAATAATTATCTCCCTTTACGTTTTCAAAAATATTACAATGTATCACTTAAATTTCCTGTATACATTTCAATTGTTGAGTGATATATATTCAAAACATTAAATAGCATATTTCATCGTCACAACTTTGCATTATCAATTTTGAAATATTGTTTACATTTTACATTTAATAAATATTCATATCTAATTCTTAACTATTTCGTCACGTCACCCTATGTCTATGTCCAGTATTCGTCACAATGACATGATATATACAATTTATACAAAATATATATACATACATAAAAATCATATGTGTCGATCAACAATAACATTTCAGATAATCAAAACATACATACTAGAATAAGACTTACAATTTTGACATTACATCAGGCAGGTGATTATGGATGCTGTATTTTAAATTTAAACTGTGCAATCAATAGAGCCCATCTGTACACTCTAGCTTTGTTTGTTGACTCCATGGTCATCAATTTGGTAAGACCTAAATTGTCAGTTAAGATAGTGAATTCTTTCCCTAACAAGTATTTTTGAAATTTCTTCAGACTCAGAACTAATGCTAATGCTTCTTTCTCAAATGTGCTGTACTTCTGCTGTGTAGATGTTAGTTTCTGGAAAATAATGTCTGCATCTGTAACAGATTCGTTTAGATCTGCAATAGTTTGATGATTGGCATCACATATTTTAAAATATTGTTTCCAAATGTTGACATGATTCATTTTACAACATAGATGTTACTCAATTCTGCAATTCATCAGTAATAAGTAATTTTGTACTAGATGTATGCTGCAAGGTGGTATTCACATTCACCAACAGTCGAACAAGTCATCTGATTAAAATTCATGGCAAATTAAAATTGGTTTCAACAATTCAAAGTTTCAGAATGAGGGAAGTGTTTGAAATAGACCTGATCAAAAAGTAATAATTTCAGAATCACTAATGCTAATAGTGTGCCACATTTCAGAATTTGACAAATTTCTGTAGAGATATATAATCTCGAGATGAAAAAGCCTCTCTGAACAGGATAGATCATTCCTAAAAGTTGTAGATCATGAATCATGTTGAAAGTATAGAATAGTTGTAAATTCATTTCACCTGTTACAAATAGAAATTGGCATATGATGAACAATATGTGTTGCAGTAACCACACGTACTAGAACAAACGCTGTGAGCAGTTGTCTTGCTGTGCTCGACTTAGGTCTCTTGGGTGGGGATTACCTTTGGTTGCCCAACAACCTGTTCTTGCTCTTTTTGTTTCTTCTTCCGGTTCCAAAAACCTGTAAGACTTTTGATTACAAGTACATTGAATAAATCTGTTAATTTTACAGTCGTGTATTTCTTGACTTTGGTTTTGCTCATTGATGCTCCGAGTTTTCTTTTTAAAATACATTTTCCTCTGTTTTTTCTTTACATGTTCTTGCATACTGGGTTTGGGAGTTGGATACCTGTCTTTCATACTATTACCCTTCTTTCTTTCAGTCTTTTTATTGCTTTTTCTCCTCATTTGTTCTGCAGTTATATTTGTCATTACTGCCACTCTCTCATGTATACCTTTTACTTTCTCACTTTCTGTTATGTTCTGGACACTTCCAGTCTCTATGCTTTCATTCAAGTCATTCATACTATTATTTTCATTCCAACATCCATCTTTCGTTTCTTCCACAGTGGATGTGGGGTTTGGAGTCATATCATTTACTCCTTTGCTCTCATTCCGTTGTTTTTCTCTCATTAATTTCACACTTGATGTGGGGATTGGATTCACATCATTCACCCTATTCTCTTTGCTGACTGGAATGTTTTCTATCTCCCATTTAGTGATGTCTTCCTCAGATATGTTTTCTAAGTCTTTTCTGTTACCTATGATCAAATCTGCACTCGGTGATGGTAACATGGCAACATAAATATTCTTTGTTAAAAATGGTGTTGACACATAAATGTAACCTAATCTGTATGTTTCAGTGTTGCCACTAAAGGTTCTACAGGTAATAAACTTTTGTGTTACCTCATCAGGTCTTAGTAGTGCCTGTCTAATTCCTGATATCGTGGCGCCGCTATCTCTCAGGACTGATACGGTTCGTCCATGCACCATACCTTTGTGTAGTGTTAAACTACCTTGGTCATGTGCCGCTGTGCTGGCATCCTGGATTGGTACTTGGTGACCGCATGGTAGGCTACCCTCAGCTTGAAATTCTGAACAGACAAAGCAGTTATTATTAATGCAACAAACTTCAACAGCATTACCCTCATACGTATCAGAACCCGAGTCTTCATCAGACAACCCATATGCCACGTGTGCTTCTTTGATCTGTCGCTTAAAAGCACTTTGATTACGTACATGGCCATAAGATAAACAAGAAAAACATTTCAATACTCTATCGTAGTCACTGAGCTTGTTTTTTCTCTTGGCAATAAGCTCCTGAACCCTCATTGCGTATGCTGGGTTCTTATCGCAAATAGCGTCTGAACCATGTTGTCTGTTGCAATGACTGCAGTTGATTGTGTTAACTTTCTTCCTGTTGTATCTCTTGTTTCGAACTTTCGCTGCATCAACCCATTTTTGAAACGTGTTTTGCACTTCAGCTAGGTAATCTACAAACGTTTGATTACTCCTGGGCTTTAATCCAACGTATTGTTTTCTATAGCCCATTGCATTGAGCTTATAATGGTTCATGAGGTATTCCTTCATATGATCGTAATCCATTTTCTCTAATTCTGGTATTGATTCCAACACTTTGAGTGGCTCAGACCCTAAATGTTTCTGAAAAATCATCGCATAGTCTTCCTTGTTAACCTTGTTCATACGCATTTGAAGCTCAAAGTTCGTTACATAAGCTGATATATCCTCATTTTCACAGAAGTTCCGTACTATGCCAGTGTATTTTTTAAACCTCTTTTCCTCGGCGTGTAATCTTTCTTTCTCTAATGCTGCTTCCCTTCTGGATTCATTTTCCATTTCTTGTCTTCTTAACTGTGTCTCTGCTTTCTCTTTGTCTGAATTAATTTGCGCTGCCAGCCTCTCTTGCTCTAGCTGTATTCTTTTATCTTCCATCTCTTTTTGTTGAGCTAATTCACGCTCTTTTAGTTCCTTCTGCAGTAGTAACTCTTGTTCCTTGACACGGAGCTCATGTTCTCTCGAAAGTCTCCTTTCACTTCTTTCCTCTTCTGCTTTTATCTTCTCCTTCTCTTTCTCTTCCGCTTTCATCTCCTGGTGCTTTTGGTCAACATACTTCCTTAACTCCTCACCTTGAAAGCCTAACTCCTTCCCGATCGCAATCCATTCTGCCATACCCGACATTCTTGAATAGGATGATCAAGATTTCCTGCTACTCCTTTTGTTCTACAACTATACCTATCACACTCGACAATGATGACACAATAACAATTGAATTTAAACAAATTCAAATAAACAAATAATAAACTAAGTCGCTAACTACCGACTTAGGGATTAACTAATCTTATTCTAATATTAATTAACAAAATCTAATTTTATTTATAACTAAGTAATTACCCTCCTATTTTAATCGACTTGCACTACCCCTGCCTAGATGTAGCTGTAACTGTAGATCGGAAACCGCTGTCACTATAAGATATGTAAACTAGGACTACTGTAATGCTAACTCAATCAATAAATCAAAATAGAACTATTAAAGTAAATAATTCACAATAATAAATAAGTGTTAATTAAATTTCCTACGTAAACTATATTTAATGTAATAATAAAGTTATTAAATTTATAAATTTCTATTTAATTATTTCACCTTTAATTTAATTAAACAAATATACAAAATATTTTTAATTAATAATTACCTATGAAATAATTAAATACTAGTATTAAATAATTTTAATTAAATAATCACCTATGAATTAATTAATTATCTATAAATTAAATAAATAAATTTAGTAAATAATTATAAGATCCTATCTACTAAAGATTGTAACACAATATATCTATGCTGAAAGCAAATGACACTGGTCCTATATACATTTCTCAAAAATAATGATACCAATAATCATACACAATTTGTCAACAAATTTTAGAAATAAGTAATGATGATGATGATAAATCGAATAGGAATGGTATATTTGCTCCCCAAAATTTACAAAAGTAAATAAATAATGATTCAATAATTACCAAAAATTACAACCAGAAATAAATAAACAATAACAATTATATCGTTCACAATAATATACCCACAACCTAATAAATTTTGGTATCAATAAAATATAAATAAAAGCACTGTAAAATATATCGGATTAAGTTACTTTTTCCGGCACGGCACACGGTAATAGTTATATTTCTTGCTGCTTATTATCACAAACTACTAGGAATTCCAACTACTTCTGATATGTCCTGAATATCTAACCTAAACACAGTTTTGCTGAATTTAATCAATGTTTACCTTGTTCTGTCCTGGCTGACAATCTCACTGTAGGCCTGTATTTCCGCTTGCACACACTGACCCAAATTTGCTGTGTGACCTAGTTCGCCAGTTGTCGCAGATTAGGATATTTCTGCTAGCTTTTGCCAGTTTGGCGGCTAGTTAACGGCAATTTCTCAGTGCTGTTGATAGATATTTCTCAATCCACGCTGTGATGAATGGCGACCCGGAAGACTCAGTTGACTCATGGATCGTGAAATATTTTGTTCGCCCTTTTATTTATTCGTGGCTTTTAGCTTTCTTGTGTATCGCGCTGTCATTGTTGACGCGTAGTGGACAACTTCTTCGTCGTAAATGTCATACAGCCATTTGATCTGTTTCTCGTAGGCTTCTTGATGAATTTGTAGAACGACGCAAAGTGCCACGTAACCCAGGGCAGTCTACGTGTCCTTTAACCTTTCACCCACGTGACGACATAACCCAGCATCAGGTGGTTACGGGTTAAATTTTTGTCGCAACTGTTCGGTGATTCCAGCAACTATGCGTTTCACCAGATATCGTCTCTTACATGGCCGTCTATCACGATTTTTCCCTTTAGACTTTCAATGGAACCTCATCTGCGTGTACGTGATAGTCTCCGGTATCACTTTTCGTTGCTCTGTTGACCAAACTATCAAAACTTTCGGCTTTCACTGTGCAACTGATGTTTTTACCCGGTGACTTCACAAGCTGTGCTCTCTCAGGCAGACTCCGTCACTTATATATCAGTCATTTGACTTCTAATGGCCCTTAAACGTCTGCGTGGCAAGTAGCAGCTCATGACATCATCTCGCCGTTGCTGTTCTGTTGCCCGGTTGTCTCCGTTTTTAGAGCCTCCAATTGTGATGAATGGTTTTGTATTTCTACTCGTTGTCTAGGCGGTGTTCATGCGTGTGTGGTGGATGATATTCTCACACGCTTCACGTTACACACCTGGCACAAGCCGACACCTATGTGAGCTTACGAGAAATTACTTTATTGACGTATTAAAACTTACGACAAACAGAATCGTCCAGTCGATGTCTAATTGAACCGCTTTCGTACACAAACTCACGCAGCCTTTAACGAACAGTCTTCTGCAGGCATTCAAGCAACGATGGGTCCCATGGATTCAACACTGACGTTTGGACATCTCACACGCTGGCATGGTCAATCTCAGCTTAACACTTCGTCGGCAGGTCTCCTTTCTCCTCAGGCACTCACGTAGACATTCGCACATTCAGTCGCTCGTCCTCTCGCTCCAACAGGTTGACACAAACTAAACTTGACCAGAGTCAAGTCCGACTTATACCACGGGTTCCTTTCACGTGACAACACGTGGTGGTCCTTTACTTTTCCCGTGGCGACCTTGGGTCGCATCACCGTGGTCCCCGTGATAACTAGTGGTTAGTCACCTATCTCCAGATTCTCGTTTAATCCAAGTATCTGGACTATCTCGGTGTTTTTGGTCAGCTTTGGGCCTTCCCCCCAACCATCCTAAACTGGGTCGAAAATATCCCCCATTACACCAATATTTTATATTTCCTTTGTTCTTACCATCGCATACTCTAGGCCAGCTGTGCTCAAACTTTTTTTTTAATCGCGACACCCTTGTAGGACTAAATAAATTTCGTGCAACAAAACTTTTTTCGCTGTGGCACCCTTGTGGGGTTAAACAAATTTTGTGGCACACCTACCCTTAGAGCGGATGAATACTTAGGAAAATAAGGGGGAAAAAGTGCGATGACTGAAACTGTTTGGATGCATTTTGCATTATATCCTTTTATTTTCATGTTTAAAAAGTATCTCCATCCTGGATGACCCTGCCTGAAGGTTAAAAAAAAGCACGGTGTTTGAAGATTTCTTATCCTTTATGTACTAATTCAGAATGATTGCATTCCATATGTCTCTGTAATTTAGATGGAACCAAACAACTGTTAGCAATCCTTCTATTTTTGGCAGTTAACAATTTGCCCTTCAGGTGCCTGTTTGTTCCCAGCCGAAACAAAGGTAGCTAGGATAATATTTTCTTAGTTTTCCTCTGATTTTCTTGAGGTCGTGAGTTGCCTTTTTGCGAACTGAGGCAAACCAACTTGGATGGCTTAGGCTCGCAGTTGTCTGCTGAGACAATATAACCATAACTTTACTTATAGACTGCACCTTAAGACATTCAGGTAGAGGATCAGTCTCACCTCGAGATAAAACAAGGACGATACTTAGCGTAACGGTTTGCATTTATGCAGTACACGACTGAGTGGGAAACAAACAAACTCTTTTCAACAGCAGCAAGGAAAGACAACTTAAATTTTAACTCTTAAGTATCTGCATGGCTTCTTTAATAATTTCAGTGTTTAGCTGATTTTTTTTTATTACTGCCGCGGCACCCCTCACATACGCTCGCGGCACCCAGTTTGAGAACCTCTGCTCTAGCTCACGGTATATGATTCGGATTGGCTAGTTCTCTTCCTCGCTCCCTTTCTGTTCCGGAAAATTTATTATTCTATTTTTAGTCAGCAGGAAGACACCTGGAGATGTTAGAACTTTCTTTTTGGAAATATTGAACCACAACCAGCTCCAGTTAACGGGCCATGCTGCTGAGATCACCAGGTTGGGCTAAGGATGCGTTAACACAGCGGTTCTCAAACAAGAGATAAACTACTTTCTACAGCGTGAGGGGAGACAACTTTAATTTTAACTTTTAAGTATCTACATGCCTTCTTTAATAATTTCACAATTTTTAGCCGACTTTTCTTGATTATTGCCGCGGCAACCATGGCATACGCTCACGGCACCCCAGGGTGCCTCGGTACCCAGTTAGAGAACCGCTGCGTAAACGGATCGTTGGCCCAACCCGGTGACATCAGCAGCACGGCCGGTCAGCTAGAGCTGGTTGTGGCCTAGCAGTATCTACCCATTACACCTAAAGGTGTAGGGAAGTCACTGTAGTGTCGAGACTAATCATTTGCTTCTCAGTCAGAATGAATGTCTTGGGTTTAAATCTGCAGTGAAATTTTTTTTATAAATAAATGGCTGCCAGATACCCAGTCTAAAAAGAGTGCAAGGGAGCTTACTTGGAAATAAAGGCAGCCGTTGCAGTTTTGACCTCATCATCCATCGAGTGGTGGGGTTTTCTTGACATATGTTTTGTCTAGCAAAGTGGTCAGGCCATTTTAAGATTCCTGGGGATCGTCACCAGAGCCACAGAGGTCACGCTCTGTTCAGCGCTTTCGATAAGTGGCTAGCCATTCTTTAGAGAGAGGCCGAGCCATATAAGATAAATTCTAGTGAGATGAAGTCAATCCTCTCGACTTTAAACATTTTTAACCCACTGAGTGTTGTCTGGCTTCAGAAATATGCTGTTTTGTTTTTTCTCATGTTTTTGAAAATATTTGTGACCATTTCAGTTCTCTTTTTTTTTCTATTCCTTTCTGTTGCCTTCTGTTATTACAGATTGTAACTTTCTATCAATCTGCCCCTTTTCTAAAATGTTAATTATTGGCTTTTCTTTGAAATTAGCAGGTCATGCAGAACTGCAGGCAGCACAAAGACAGTCGGCTGAAATAATCAAAGAGAGCGAGGAGCACATGCCGCAAGCATCATCTCCAATACAGAATGGCAGATCCAAAAAGAAAGTGAAGAAAAGTAAATTTTTTAGCTGCAAGACGTCTTGACGTGCACTGCTGACAGTGTGGGTTCAAATCTGTCTTATCAGGTGGTGATGTTCTTGTGTTGAAGTAGGAAGAATGAACTCAGGTGGGATGTTGATGATGATTGTTATTATTATAACTGTTATTGTTAGTACACATTTTGGGCTGGTTAAGAAAGCACTGGCTGATCACTGCCATTGGTTCTCTTGAATTAAGCTGGTACCTAGAATATTTTAAGTACTCTTGCAAAGAAGGTTTCTGCCAAGTAGTTTTCTGTGGCCTGGTTGCCAGCTCCTTTTCACCGCATCCTATCGTTTTTTTAAATATTAATTTTGTTGGTTATCTTGATTCCAAGCTGGTAAATGAAAATTACATTAATAGACTGTCATAAAAAGCGAAAAAAGTCATTAGTGTATTATTTTTACACTGCAAGTTTTTTGTTATAAAATATACCTTTTTCTTTAGCCTGTAGTTCTAACAGCTTCAGGTATAGTGTGGACCTGGTCCAATATTCTCCTCTTAATGGGCTGTACATGGGACAGTCCTGCAGGCCTTTTTTGTTTTAGCCTGTAGTTCTAACAGCTTCAAGTATTGTGATGACCTGGTCCACTCTTAATGGGTTGTACATCCTGCAGGACATATACTATGGTCTGTTATGCAGCTCGCATAGACACAGCGGTGTCCCACTCAGACGAAGCCTTTGCTATGCATACGGTAGTTTAGTCCGTTATGCCCTGTCCTGAGATGAAGAATGATGACGAATCTATGTTGGTCAAATGAGTGGTAGTCATCTTTGGCCTGATTCTGTTCTCTACTGATAGACTGACTGACACTTTTTCCTCAAACAGTTACAAAGCACAAAATCTGTTTTTATCCTTGTTTAAACAAAAATATGCGTTGTTAGAAATTTTATTAGAAAAATAGTTCTATGCTGGAATGAATAAGTGTTACTATAACTATTTCTGTTCCAAACAGTCTTTACTATAAATTGATGAACATTTGGGTTTGTAAAAGTGTTAAAATAACAATATAGAACAGCAAGGGCAGAGTCTCAGTTGTGATAGAATGAGGAAATTTAACAGTTAAGGTAAAGGCACAAAGTATGACTTGCAAGGAGAAACAGTGCATGTATTGTATTTGTACTGTATATGCAAGGAGTAACCAGTACATGCATACTGTTTGGTAGTGTATGAAAGGAGTAGCCAGTACATGCATACGGTTTGGTACTGTATGCAAGGAGTGACCAGTACATGCATACTGTTTGGTACTGTATGCAAGGAGTGGCCAGTACATGCATACTGTTTGGTACTATATGCAAGGAGTGGCCAGTACATGCATACTGTTTGGTACTGTATGCAAGAAGTGGCCAGTACATGCATACTGTTTGGTACTGTGTGCAAGGAGTAACCAGTACATGCATACTGTTTGGTACTGTATGCAAGGAGTAACCAGTACATGCATACCGTTTGGTAATGTATGCAAGGAGTGACCAGTACATGCATACTGTTTGGTACTATATGCAAGGAGTGGCCAGTACATGCATACTGTTTGGTACTGTATGCAAGAAGTGGCCAGTACATGCATACTGTTTGGTACTGTGTGCAAGGAGTAACCAGTACATGCATACTGTTTGGTGCTGTATGCAAGGAGTGACCAGTACATGCATATTGTTTGGTACTGTGTGCAAGGAGTAATCAGTACATGCATTCTGTTTGGTACATTATTTATGGAATAGCCAGTACATGCATTCTGGTTGGTACTGTGTGCAAGGAATAATTAGTACATGCATTATGTTTGGTACTTATGCAAGGAGTAACCAATGCATGCATTCCTTTTTGGTACTGTATGCAGGGAGTAACCAGTAAATGCATACTGTGTTCGGTACTGTATGCAAAGAGTTCCAGTAAACGCATATGTACTTCTTGGTACTGTATGTTATCATTCTTTGTGCTGTTAAATGTCACACTAGGCTTAAAGTCTGTTCTTTAATTCTATTCTGTCCTATGCAATTGTTTCAATATCATGGATGGAATAATTTCCAGCTTTTTAGACTTGCTTCATTAGGATTAGTCCTAAGAGGTTATTTTGGACGTCCTCACTCCTTCTCATTCATTTTGTTTCCCATTTGAATGTATCTTTGGTGATTCTTATTTCACTCTTCCTCATGATGAGCCAACATAGCGCCATCTTCTTTGTCTCACTACTGTTGATACCAGCGGTTGTCCAGACATATCTCTTTGTTTCCTTGGCTTTTCTTGAAAGCCTCCCATTTAATACTCATCGATTTCCTTAGGCATTTGTTTTCGCATACTTTCAACTTTCGTTGATTGTATTTATTTATCTGTTGCCTGACTTTCAGTAACTTTTAACTAGCAAATTTAAATAACAGTGGAATTGAAAATATGTAACATGGTTTTAAAATTATATAATCTAGAGTTCCATATTTTGTTCAGGGTTTTAAAGACTGCTGTTGCCTTGTCAGTGTATAGCATAATTTCTTTCTTTGTGTTACCTTGGCAGTCAAACTTGTTTACCTCAATGGGTAAACTGATCTGTTTTGACTCTTTTTAAGAAACAGCGGTGTGCAGGAAAAGAAGGTTTAAGGTCAAAAGGTACAGAGCTGCTTTTAAATACCGCCCTGTTTCCTTGTTGTCATATGGAAAATGTAATCCTTTTTATAAAAACCAAAAAAAAAATACCAATGTAAATATACATATAACTTGCACTTTTATTCTAGAACAAAGTGTTGGTACATGTTTTGACTGTAAAGAAATATATATATGCTTACATGTTTACTTATACATACACTCACACACACGTGCATGCAAACATAATAATACTAATACACACACATACATATATACTGAAGCCTCAACAGAGTAGTGGCTAGACACTTCCCTTCTGGTCCGAAGGTTTGGGGTTCAAATCTGTTTTGTTCAGTTTTTTTCCTTCAGAATTGACCTCGGCTGTGAGGTCAGTCCAGCCTTCATCAGGTACCAGATATCGTCATGGGAAGTAAAGGCAGCTGGCATGATATTGACTACATCACCCACTAAATGCAAATGCCAGTTGGTTTATAAAATTGTATGCAAGTCTGGCATCATATGCCTAGTATGTCACAGGCATAACAATGGCCTGGAGAGAATAAGGCACCTGGGTTTAAGCAGAGGGTCTGGCCGGCTCACCACACTCAGAGGAAAGGCAAGACAGACAATTAACCAGATTGTGACTGGTACCATTAGTATTGGAACTCTGCGCTGGCTGCTGAAGATGAGGACAGAGTACGCATGGGAATGCCCCAAGTGCTGTGATGTCAATTCTTGACTTAACTCCTTTTTGTTTATACAAAAACATACAAGCATATACATACCTGTGAGCACCTGCGCACACACACACACATACACACTGCTTCAAGAGGCATTAAATGAGATAAGAATGCTGATGTAGCGGCAGACAAGAAGTCATTGTATCATGGGTATTCTGTTATTTGTTCTATGTTGAAAGATGTTAATTTACAGTTGACAAGAACAATAGACAGCATTAAGTATTTATTTGAGGCCATTTCTGAACTGCTTTACAAGTCATCCTTGCATGCTGTTAACATTGTTGTACATTTTGTATGTTTTTGCAGTCTTTGTATACGTTGAGTGCATTTAGTTAAAATGTGAGGTAAAAGCCATTTATCAGTGTTAAAGAATATGAACAAAAAGAACACAAACAATACATTGCACTGTGTATTGCCTAGCGTATTTTACTTGAAAAGTGAAATTTGCCAGGCAATAAATTGTGCATTATATTGTTTGTACCAGAATACGAACAGCAATAAATTGTGCAATCTATTCTTTGTAGTGGAATATGCAGGACAGTAAATTGTACAATCTATTCTCTGTAGCGGAATATGCCAGACAGTAAATTGTTCAATCTATTCTCTGTAGCGGAATATGCCAGACAGTAAATTGTTCAATCTATTCTCTGTAGCGGAATATGCCAGACAGTAAATTGTGCAATCTATTATTTGTAGCAGAATATGCCACACAGTCAATTGTGCAATCTATTCTATGTAGCGGAATATGCCAGACTGTCAATTGTGCAATCTATTCTTTGTAGCAGAATATTCTGAGCAGTAAATTGCACAGTCTATTGTTTGTAGCGGAATATGCCATGCAGTAAATTATGCAATCTATTGTTTGAGTCCTCTTTGTTCAAATTTACAACAAGGGAAACATAAGTAAATAGTAAAACCTTTAGTAATTAGTGGGTATTTTCACAGTACTTTGGATAGATCCTTAGTTTACAGCCGGTGAATGTGCAGAAGAAGAAGATCACCCACAGAACTTTAAAATGATAAATTCCTTCGCATACAACCTGCCAGCTAATTTTTTTTTTTGTATAGCAGTTTATTTGTTGAATCCGATGTCACAGGCTGCGGTTATTGTGACACAGGCTGCGGTTATTGTGACACATACTGCGGTTATTGTGACACAGGCTGCGATTATTGTGACACATGCTGCGGCTGCTTGGTGGTTAGAAAATCTGTGCAGAAATGTACCCTCTACATGAAAAGACTGAAATGTTTTGCTGTACCAAAGGTTAAAGAACACAGGTCTGTATAACCACGCTTTTATACCATACGACTGAAACTGAACCTCAGCCTCTATGTTGTTGAGTGTAGTAGACACAGCATAACTTCTTTCTTCTTCTGGAGGACTGCGTGGTCTCGAGGCATGGTGTCTGTCTCAAGTGCTAGAGGTTCCGAGTTCAATCCCCGGTAAATGCTGGTAAATGCTTTGTTCATGTGGACTTGGACTTCTAGTAACCCCCCCCCCCCCCCCCCCCCCCCCCCCGGTCTTTGGGTAGTAAGATGGGACGCCGTGTGCATTGTTGGGCACGTAAAAAAAAAATCCCTTGGCAGTTGGAAATCAAAAAGAGTAGCCTAACGGCGCTACCAAGGCAAAATTTAGAGTTTAAAATCTACCCAAAGTATATCAGGATCCTTGGCGGTGCTGCAGAGCCTGTGCACAGTG